AAATAATTATGAATAGTAGAAACTAAAACACTATCAAGCTTTCTCTTTCTCCTTCTCTCACGTTGATAAATCATTATTAGTTAAATCCAGTCTCTCTAACTTGTTTAACTGGACAATCGAGTCCGGTAGCCTATAGCAACAAAACATTAATAAAAACAATGACCAATAACAGATTAACCATAGATAATGTCATTTACTCTATCATCTATGGATTAACACTGCATTAACAATCATTCATACATGTACATGTAATTATAAATTACTCTTATTATTATTATCATTATTATTATTATTATTATTATTATTATTATTATTATTATTAGTTGATAATCATTGTTACTGTACATTTGTTATATTGTGTATTCTATTCTCACATTGTTAGTTTGTTCTCTCTCAGAGTTAATATAGTGAGAGAAGACAAGTGAGTGAGTCTATCATCTTGTAATGTCTGAATCTTATTAAATGATAATAATAGAGACTGAGGGAGAGAGAGGGGGAGGAGGAAAGGGAGACAGAGAAGAGATAATAGAGCAAAAAAAGAACATGAAAAATTATAAATTTGTACATGTACATGTAATTTATCAATCAAAACTACATTGTAAAAATGACACTACAATAGCTCCAATCAACTGTTGAGCATTATGAACTTGTTAAATATTTTTGGGATGCAGTACGTAACTAAATTTTTAACAAACTACATGTACAATGTATTAGGTAATGCCCACAGATAACAATAAAGATAAAGTTGATGTCATGACAAACACATACATGTACATGTACATCATGTACATGAATATATACATGTATATATGTACTACAGGCTCACAAGCAGCATTTATGGAAAGTATAGAGGCCAAACTACATCATATAGACCAGGTAACTCTTGCTGCAGCATAGTTTTCTTGCTATGCTTCATTTCAGCACCTTGGGCTTTGATCTGCCTTTGATGTGGATTGTGGAGAGCTTCTTGCAGTCAGTAATTTCATTCGTGGGTGGCTGCCGTAAATAATTCATTCTAAACAGTCTTAGTGCCTAGGGGGTCTATACATGTACTGGTTTACTAATAATTAACTAGTATAATACATAATTGTGGCTTTTTTGCAAAAATTACACGTACATGTGCCTCAAATTTACAAAATGTACATGTATACATGTACAATTATACTAATTTACATGCATGTACAATGTACATGTGTATATTAATTACCGTAGGTCGGGAGATATTCGCGGCTGCTTATTTTCGCGATAATAAAAACTAATAAAAAGGTTCAATTAAATACCATGGAAACCAATGGATTGTTGCTATGACAATAAGACCACGTGTGTATACAATTACAGTGTTCAGCAGCTAATTATCTATTCTTTAGCAGCTTTAGTGGGAGCCATCCAGTTCTCCATCTGCTATCTTCTTGTATGGACCACTACCTTTGAGCTCTTTGCTGCAAATCCTTGCCGCTCCACTTGCTGGTAATAATTAACCACGCCCAAGTCAATAAATGGGTGGAGAGTCCCAAGAATGGGCCAAGATATGGCGAGCAGAGTGAAGAGAGTAGCTCTGGTTGAAAGAGCTCCAAATAGACCAAGGATTAGTAACAGCAAAAGAACAACTACCTAAGAACACTGCAACAGATTCCTTTGCTATTATTATCGCGGATTTTTCAATTAAAATTGCATCTGGTAACCATGGTAATTGCTGAGTGCGGGAAAAAATCGCGAAAATAAGCAGCCATGAATATATCCCGACCTACGGTATACAGAATATACAGAATTATAATTCCGTTATACAGAGGTTCTTTTATACACTACCCAATGGCCTTATGGCCGGGACAAGAGCAACTGTACGTTATAGAGAGGTGTCCGCTAATTGGGGGTTTGTTTTACAGAGGTTTGACTGTATAGTAATATTGTACATGTACATGTACATGTACACATGCAAATACCTTTAATGTGTTTCCTGGTCTAATGATTGGGAATTCATTCAATTGGTTTTGACTTAAATCAATCTCAGTAATCCTCTCCAACCCAACCACTAATAACAAGATAAAGAACACCACATACTCTAAGTATATACTGACTACATTTAATCCACTTACAAGGTGGTAATGCTTTTAACTTGTTTTCAGATAGCGATAATTTAGTCAAATCTAAACATAAAGATAATTAAAATATATACTACACAAACATATATGGTATACGTTCAAATTTTTGAGTGGTTAAAATTTCATGCTTTCAATGACATGTGCTCAAAAATTAATATTTGTGCAAGCTAATTTTCATATTCTGGCCATAGTCTATATACAATAGAATGGCAATAGAGGTGGTTTAAATTGTAAGGATTTAAGGTGAGCACAAAAAACAACAGAAATTACGACACATATGGTACTTCTTGTTAAATCACTGAATTGTGATACAGTGACTACTTGAAACTGATTTACATGTACATGTACTCACTCCTCATTTCTCCGAGGTTAGGTGGTATCTCGTTCAATCTATTCTCCGATAAATTAAAAGTTCTTAAAACTGTCAACCTCTCAAGACCATCAGGTAATGCCTCCAAGGAATTACCACTTATATCCTAAACACAATGAACAAGTCTCATGACAAGGGCCATTGCAATTATATTTATATTTGAGTGGGCGTAGTTAATTACTATTATATTATTCATTATAGTGAGGACTCATGAAGTAAGCTAATGGGTACATGTACATGTATATGCACTACATGTATGTACTCAGGGCTTCCCACAGGATTTTAATTGGCATAATCAGTGGATTGTCAATTCACTCAAAATTAGGCCAATTCGACAAAAATCATAACAAATAAATTAATGATTTTTATAATTTTTCTTGATACATATACAAGTTCTTATGTTGTATAAAAATTTGAAATGATTCCAATTAAGTTTGAATTTTTAATGAATTTTTAAAGTTGCTCAAAAATTGGGCCGAAGTCCCTCTACAGTGATTTTCATCAAAAAAAAAATGAAAAGAAAAAATTTCCAATTATTATATTTTTTGATACATATACATATACATGTACTTATGCTGCATAAAGAGTTTGAATTGACTCTGATCAAGTCTAGACTTTTTTATGAATTTTTAATAATAAAGTTGCTCCAAATGCCATGTACTGTATCATAGGGCTTGTCAGCTCATGAAGCTCATGCTGTTTAGCTCACTTAGCATGCTTTATGGAAACCCTGAAGTACAGGAAACTTTGCAGTGGCCTAATGTAAGTTATGTGGTGTGTGTGTGTGTGTGTGTGTGTGTGTGTGTTGTACCAGTTCCTCTAGGTACGAGAGACTAGTGATTGACTGTGGTAGAACAGTTAGTGAATTGTGTGATATATTGAGAGACTGTAAGTTAGTCAACTGACCAATGTCTACTGGTAAACACTGTAGTTTATTATAACTGAGGGAGAGATAAAGGAAACAAAGAATGAACTAAACACAAAACAGTATAAGTGATAGATATTGCATGTCAGAAAGTTTATATGTGTCACTAAACTTTTTTGTAGCCTTAAATAAAAATTTGCAAAAAAATTGTTTAATATATAAACTAGCTCGTGAGCAAAAGGACAAAATAAAATCTATTTTTTGTCAATAATTTATAAAATTTAATACTCAATAGATAAGTACATGTATGCATGGAGAGAGATATACATGTACATATGGTAGAGAGTGGATACAATATTTACCTTGCAAATATTTTAGATAGTTTATCCAGTTTGATCACATTATTAGGTAGACATGTTAACTCATTGTACTGGACCTATAATAACAATAACACACAACATGTAAACATAATTATGAGTCTTTATACAAAAATAAACAACAAACTAAACTATAAACAAATCTACAACATTCAAGGGAGTTCTCTCAAGCCATGCAGTACCGTATAAGTGGTTTTTTCGAGGGTGGCAAATTTTGCGGATTCCCTCCTGATTCGTGAAAATAAAATCCGCGAAAATCAATTTAATACGGTGCCCTCATGGAGCATGTGGTAGAATTCACGAAATTAAAATCCGCAAATTAAAATTTTAGCAGATTTCGCGAAATATAATTCCCTCGAAAAAAACCACTTATACGGTATACCATGCTATTACAATTTAATTGATACATACATGTACACTAAACATGTATTATAATGATATTAAAAATCTTGTATTTTCATTCTCACCTCAAGCGCTGACAATGAATTAAAGTTTTCAATATCTTCAGATATTTCTTTGATTTCGTTAGATGATAGATCCAGTCTAGTCAGTTCCACCTGGTCCCACCATCTCTCATCAACATCAAATGAAGCAGTACTACCATCAGGAGGATCAATATTGAGTCTCCACAGTTTAGGAGGAATAACACTAATGCCCCTGTAATTATACACATTCACCCACTGACTTTCATACATCCACATGTTCATTAATGCGTCGTAAAATGAAAATCATTCAGGTCATTTTTGGTGAATTAAAAAACATGTTATAAGTCTCACACAGCCTCCTACCTGTTTGACAGGTTCAGTGAACCGGTTTTTCGAGCTTCTTTCAATAAGGATTCTGGTACAGTCCCCTCCTTACCTACCCCATCACTTTCACTAGGAGAATTCAAGAAGTTGGCATTTGGTTTGAGTCTAGTAGAACCAGCAGGAGATTTTCTACTGGCACCACGACTGGAACTCATTTTATGAATTTTGAATGAATGGGTGTGGTCTTATGTTGCATAGTTTGGGTGGGGCTGGTATTTTGGAAGAATGGCATCTAATGGACCTCCATAAATATCCTTCGAAGTCCTTGCAGCAGAGGAGGTAGGACACGGTTGACCTTTGATTAATAATTGCAAAGTTCAATTGCATTCCATTGGTATCACGTGATGCAAAATGGCCAAATTCTTCCACTAGTACCACTTCTAACAATAATTTAGAGCATCAAGATAGAGTCAATGGGACTTTCATTAATTCACTAGAAACTATGATAAGTGCAGTAATTTTTAACATCTTAAACTAGCGATGATTGATTTATCTGATGAAGTAAAGAAGAGAATCAAAGTTAAGATGCACTGTCTCTTTCTCCTTCTTATATTCATGTCTATAATCAAATAAGAAATATTCTCCATACAATGGTGATTTTAACAACCGTCAAGGGTAGTCATAGATCTCTCTAGTTTCTGCAGTAGTAGCTAGTTTTGTGATACAATCATCAGAAAGCTGCCATTTTTCATCACGTGATACCAATGGAATGCAATTGAACTTTGCAATTATTGCTCAAAGGTCAACCGTGTCCTACCTCCTCTGTCCTTGCAGTACAGCCTCACTAATGGAGGAGATGGGAAATCAACCAGGTTTTGGGCCCGTAACCAATAGCAACATCAACCAGCCTACGCCCCCGTTTCCAATCCCTTTCATTTACACTAATATCTATGGTTTGGGCATAGATATTAGAGGTTACGTAGTCTCTAATATCTATGGTTTGGGTGGGGCTGGTATTTTGCAAGAATGGCATCTAAAAGTGAGGGCCACTATTCTCTTCTCTTTGTATTTCTTTCATTCATTCTTTATCTCTCTTACTCTCTCACTTACTTTACTCCTCTGTATCCTGTCCTTATTCTAACTCATCACTATATTACTGTTACTCTGTTACTGGTACCTCTTGTTCTCTATAGACTATCAACCAGTGGAGAGAAGTAGACACTCCACAGTAAAGGTAGGAGACTACCTATATATGTGGGGTGGGTACGGGTCTAGAGTAGACTATGATGTGATGGAGGTGTATCACTTACCAACTGGTGCTTGGGACCAGAAACCTACTACTGGTACCCCACCACCAGGTACCAGGGGCTATTCATCTGTTGCTATTGGGAAGGACATATATTATTTTGGTGGAAAAGGTGGTCGTGGTTATGAAAACAGCTTACATTGTTTCAATGTGGATTCATTCAAGTGGAGGGAACTCTCTCCTTCTAGTTCTGATCGCGATCCAATGAAGAAGGCCTACTGTGGAATGATATCAGCTAATTTTGATGGTGAAGACTATCTTGTAGTAATTGGAGGAAGGAGCTACTCTTATATCAATACTCCAAAGCAACCTGATGCTCAGTATTCAGCTAGTGGTAGATGTAATGAGATACATTATTACAGGATTTCATCAGGTCAGTAATTCTTATCATTGATACACAATAGTTGATGAGTATTTCAAACTGAATAATTTATATTAATGTACATAAAACAGATTGTTAATAATTAAGTGTGTTTGTTAGTGTGTCTCTGTGTGTCATGTGTTTGTGTGTGATGGTGACGTGTGTCTATATGTGACGTGTGTGTGTGTACTAATACATACATTATGATGTGTCTGTGTATGATAGTGCATATAATGTATGTGAGAATTTATGAATGTATGACGTGTGTATGTGACGTGTATCTATAATGTGCATGTTATGTGTGTGTGAGCATTATCATGTATCTGTGTGTGTGTGATGTTTGTATATGTACATGTATCTATACATAAGCTAATGTGACATGAGTGTGTGTGTGTGTAGGTTCATGTTATTTATTATCATTTTTAATAAAGTTCTGTATCACATGAGTCAAAAACTACTCACATACATTGTTCCATGAGTTTTGTATAATCATTCATTAATAATCATAACTAACATGTACCAGAATAGATTAGTAATTAATCTTGAAATAAGGAGACCCCCTGGACCTCTCCTTTATGTGTACAGGTGTGGTGTGTGTGATGGTGTGTGTATCCATACATGAGTGTATCTGTGTGTGTGTGTGTATTATGTGATAGTGATGTGTGTCTATGCATGATGTGTATGTATAAATAATAATGTACACACATATACACATACATATGTATGATGAATGTGTATAATGTATGTGTGTGTATGTGGTAAGTAAGTGTACATGAATGTTTGTACACTATTATTAGATCAATGGATATCTCCTGTTGTTACTGGAGACAGACCACCTCCTATTGAGGACTTCACTCTAACACCAGTTACTAATAACACTGCGGTAATGTTCGGAGGCTATACTGATAATGGAGTCATTAATAAACTGTATATGATAAGTTTCACTAAGACATCAGTGGTGAGTTAATACTGTATGATGGGTTTTGATTGTGAGATTCTTTTGAATGCAAACTGGGTTTCCATTTAAATTTTGATTGTAAAATGTGGGTTTTCAATTAAATTGAAATTGAAAGCATTGTAATTTAAAAATGAATTATTTTATAACATTTATTTTAGGATATATTAGAAGTACCTAATCCTGAAGGATCAGTACAATGGCCTAAGGGAAGATATGGTCATTCCAGTGTACTGATTACCACTAGTTCAGGACCACACTTACTAGTGGTGGGTGGATCATATGCCTATGATGTATGGTTACTGGACATTAACAAAAGAAAATGGAAAGAACTGGTAAGTATTATATTATGATGCTTGATAATGAAACATAAAGTGATTAACTAAATTTGTAACTCATGAGGTTTGTAATGTACATGTACATATTATGATACTCAGTGAAAACTACTGATGAATAATGCTGGTATTCAGTATGTGTGTGTGTGTGTCTGTTTTTAGTGTGAATGTGTCTTTTTGTGTTTTGTGTTTGTTTCTTTACCTAAATATGTGTGAATATACATGTGTCTGTGTGTGTGTGTAAAGATGGATTCACAATTGGTAGAGTGTCAATGCTGGAATTAAAATGAATTCTATTTTATATACATTGTGTAGATTGTGTATGTACATACATGTATTTGTGTGTATGTGTGCATATGTTTTAATATGTGTATGTGTGTACTAACACGTACATCATGTGTACATGTAACATGTACATGTGTGTGTATGTGTGTGAGCAATTATGCATGCTTTACATGTAGCTTTATATGTGTATGCATGTATAGATGTACATGTATGTGTGTTAGTGTGTCATTAGTATGTGTATGTGTATGTGTGTACATGCAGACACTTAGTAAGTTCTTAATTGAGGACTCACATGATATAATAACAGACTCAGTTGTGTATACTTGTCTATTAATATATTGTGTATTATTAATTTTATTATGTGATCTTTGTGTTACATAAAACACACTGTGCAGACTATAAAACTGTGAGTTAGTTATTGTGTTTATTAACCAGATATCAAATCAATTAATATGTCATACACAAATTAATTATTATCATTTTAATTTTATAGATTAATCTACCACACAATGTCACTAACAGATATGATCATTCTCTCTCAGTGTGGAGTGTGACCCCAACTACTAACTGGATAATTGAGTTTGGAGGAAGAAGAAACGATCACACAACAATAAGTGATACAGCAGTTATTGAACTCAGTAAGTACATGTAGACAGTAGTAGATACAATGTGTATTGAATATGTAATGATAATTAGTAATGATAATATTACAATAAAGTAAGTAATTCTTATGATGAATATTTAATGAGAGCATTTGATGTATACCTATGATACTAATTATTACCAATTCATTCCTGCTATGTACAATAGTGAAATATAATGACTGCAGATACAGAAACACTTATATTAATAGGAGCTAGAGTGAATGAAATATTATTATGAGTGTATTTATATACAATAATATGTTCATGTGGTTAACTGTGTAAACTGACAGAGGTCACACATACAATGATTAAACATGAATCCATCAATAATAAGGTTACCATAGTAACTAAGTGTAATTAATTTGTGTATTTGTTATTCTCCACTATTTTGTTACTGTATAGGATATACTAGTGATAATGATTGGTCTACTAGTGTAATACCTCTGGACCAGTATCAAGATCAACTAAGAAGAAGGATACTGAGTGATTGGGAGAATTTAGGATTAAGCAAAGAGGTTCAATTACTCAGAGGACACCTCCAACAAAGAGAAAGAGAATTCTATGAGGAACAGCTTGAAAGAGAAATAAAAGAGAAGGAGCAGATACAGCAAGATCGAGAGAAAGAGCAGCAACAGCTTCTTCAAGAAAAGGCAACACTTAGTCTGCAACTTGATGATGCTACCACTCTCCTTGAGCAAACAAAATTAGGTACAATTGTGTTTTACATCAATCAATGTATTCTATTAATTTATAGAACTTAGAGAAAACGAGTTGTTCGTAGCCAAACTGGTGAAGGAAAGACAAGAGAGGGTCCTCAAGCAACCTATCAAAGAGACTAGTTCCATTGGACTACAATTTAATTACCTGATCCCTTCAATGGGTAAACTATGTACATGTACACATGTGAATGATTGTGTGTGTACTATACTGGTATTAGATATGATGTGTCTGTATTGTTTCAGATTCACTAGACTCTAGTGTCATTATAGCTGGACAGAAGCTCTTTATCCTACAAGAAGACAGGTCTCACTCACTCCAGTGGGAAAAATATGGATTGAGATTAGAGTGTCCTGAAGGAGCAGTGTCCAAGGATACTGAAGTAGCTGTTACTGCACTAGCTGGTGGTAATTTCAAGGTACCCAAAGGTACTGTGCTAGTGAGTGCAGTATATGCAATATCAGTATCTAAGGGACTATTAAAACCACTGGTAATAGAGCTACAACATTGTGTGGATCTAAGGAAGACTAGTCAGACTGGTTGCCTCAAGTTTGTGAGAGCTCCACTGAAGTCTCCTTACCAGTTGAGTATAGTTGAAGGAGGATGTTTTAGAGTTGGGAAAAGATACGGATCAATAAAGCGTGAGCAGTTCAGTTGTATGGGTATTGTAGCTGAGATGAGTAATGGAGACACACCTAGTGAGAGTGAGAGTGAGGAAGGTTATGAGACACCACCTGAAGGTACATGTATGATGGAAATAGTGTTTTATTATTAATAATGTACAATAATAGGATCAACTGATGACACACATAATGATAGTGGTAATGAA